CGGGTACGTAGCTGCCCTAGAGGCACGGCCTACGCTCGTGGATCAAGTCAGAGTAGCTCCGGTAAATGATCCTGAAATAGCTGAGTTGAAAAAGAATATGAGGGTTGAAAAGCCCGAGATTTTCATGAGGATGAGCATGGCACAATCTGGTTGGGAGAAAGATTGTGTGTGCCTGACGACAAAGAACTGAAGGATCTCATACTCATAGAAGCTCATCAAACTCAGTATTCAATTCATCCCAGCAGTACTAAAATGTACCAGGACCTCAAAGAGAAATTCTGGTGGGCCAGCATGAGAAGAGAGATAGCCGGATTCGTCGCACTCTGCGATGTTTGTCAGCGAGTCAAAGCAGAACATCAGAGGCCCGCAGGACTGCTACAACCCCTTCAGATCCCGGAATGGAAATGGGAAGAAATCGGAATGGATTTCATCACTGGTTTGCCCAGGACATCGTCAGGGCATGATTCAATTTGGGTAGTCGTGGATCGCCTCACGAAAGTTGCTCATTTCATTCCAGTGCACACTACCTATACTGGGAAAAGATTGGCAGAGCTCTACCTTTCAAGAATCATGTGTTTGCATGGGGTACCTAAGAAGATTGTATCTGATCGAGGAAGTCAATTCACTTCAAAGTTCTGGCAGAAACTGCAAGAAGAATTGGGGACTCGTTTGAATTTCAGCACGGCTTATCATCCGCAAACAGATGGTCAGACCGAGCGGATAAATCAAATCTTGGAAGATATGTTGAGAGCTTGTGCACTTGACTTTGGCGGAGCTTGGGATAAAAGTCTACCATATGCTAAATTCTCTTACAATAACAGCTATCAGGCCAGTTTGCAAATGGCACCGTTTGAAGCATTGTACGGACGGAAGTGCCGCACTCCGCTCTTCTGGGATCAAACTGGAGAACGCCAACTGTTCGGGACAGAGGTGCTAACCGAGGCAGAGGAAAAAGTCAGAACTGTCAGAGAAAGGCTGAGAATTGCACAATCTCGACAGAAAAGCTACGCAGACAACCGCCGAAGAGAACTCGCTTTCGAAGCAGGAGATTATGTGTACCTTCGTGTCACTCCGCTTCGGGGAGTACACCGCTTCCAAACCAAAGGCAAGTTGGCACCACGTTTTGTGGGACCATACAGGATCTTGGAACGCAAAGGTGAAGTCGCTTACCAGCTTGAGCTCCCATCTAATATGGTTGGTATCCACGATGTGTTTCATGTATCTCAATTGAAGAAGTGTTTGAGGGTACCTGAGGAACAAGCTAGCTCAGAGCACATTGACATCCAAGAAGATCTGACCTACGTGGAGAAGCCAGTTCGTATCCTTGAGACCAGTGAAAGGAGGACCAGAAACAAGGTGATCAGGTTTTGCAAAGTCCAATGGAGCCAACACTCACAGGAAGAGACCACCTGGGAAAGAGAAGATGAATTGAAGGCCGCCCATCCGCACCTCTTCGCCAGTTCTTCCGAATCTCGGGGTCGAGATTCCGTTTAAGGGGGGTAGGTTTGTCACGCCCTGAAGTTCCCCTTTCCATCTTTAAAATTTGTAAAATAAATCGTCCGAAGAAATTGTTCTTTTTAACCTAGAGCTAATTCCTCAAATTAATAAATGCATTTAATAATCAAATTCGGCGTGGTGGAATTTTTCTTGAGTTCCCCATGTTCCAATACATTAACAGGAATTTTAGTGGAATTTTCAAAGCCTTGGAAATAATTTTAACCAATTAAAATAAGCGCAGTGCAATATTAAATCCCTGGGAAAATCCTTTTTTCCTTTTTACCTTTACTTTTCCCTCCTTTTTCCTTTTCTTGGGCCGTGGGCCCAGTCCACCCCGCCGCCACGCGCCTCTTCTCCTTGTGGGCCGGCCCAAGCCACCCCTCCCTCTCTCCCCAGGACGCCGACAGGTGGGCCCCACCTGTCGGGGTCGTCCCCTTCCTCCGGCCGCCCACCCCCACGTCGCCACCACCGCCGAAACCGCCGCACCCTGCCCCCTTCGGGCCACGTCGGCCCAGACGCGCGCGCGCCCCGCCTTCCCCGCGTCCACCTCCCTCTCTCTCGCTCGCGCCCGCGTCACGAGATGGCCGGGATTCAAATTTGAATCCCGCCACTCTCTCTCTCTCCCCACCTCCAACCTCCCACGCCGCCGGCGAAATCGGGAGCACCCCGGCCACGTCCGCCTCCCCCTCCGCCTATAAAACGTTCCCCGTGTCCCCCTCTCTCGTTTTTCGCTTTCGCCGAGCTTCCCCGTGCCCTCCTTTGCTCCCGCGCCGCTTCACCCATCGCCGCCGCCCTCTTGCCGCGCTCCGGCCGCCGCTAGCCGTCGCTAGCCACCGCGCCGAGCCTCACCGTCGACGCCGCCGCGTTCACCATCCCGTGGGCCGTCGCGTCCGCCATCCGCCCGGCCAAATCCACCGTCGGGGCCCGCTTCTCCCCGCACGCCGGTGAGTACCACCATTGCCGCCGCCTTCGGCCATGGTTTCCGGCCGCCGTAGACCACCCCTCTCTCTCTAATCCCTCCCATTTTGTTCCCTAGGAGGTCCCGGAGATCGTCCGCCCATCGCCGTCATCCTCCCGTCGTTCGCCGTCGTCTCCTCTCGCGCCGGCCAACCTCGGTGAGAAACTCCCCTCCTCCCTCTTTCCCTCCCTCCTGTGTGCGCCGCCGTCCTCCGCGCACGCACCGTCGTCTTCGGCCGCCGCCGTCGCTTTCGGCCGTCGATGCCGCCTCCCGCGCCGCCACTTGCCGTCGCCGGTGGCCGCGTGCGCGCCGTCGCCACTGCTCGCCATGTTCGGCCGACCGGCATGAAGCCGAGCTGAGCCCGGTCGGCGCCTCCCTCTCCCTTTCCCTATTGAGCTGCTGCCGGTGGGGCCCGCCTGCCAGCCGCCCCCCCTCTCCCTCTCTTAGTGCCGCTGACCAGTGGGGCCGCATGTCGGCGCCGCCCCCGCCCCCTTGGATGACGCCAGCCCTGGGATTTATTGCGCAATAAATAATTAAGGACTTTTTCTTTATTAGTAAAAACACAGTTTATCTTCTAAAATTCATAAGTAAATCATCCGAGCTCCGTTTAAGTCCATTCAGGTCTCAGTAAATTCATAAAAATCCCTAGAATCCATTAAAAATGGTTTTGTTTCCTGTTTCAGTAGTCTTATAGCATGTTTTGCTTGTGTGCTTTGTTTGTCGCGTAGATTTCGGCCGTTTCGTCGATCCGCGGTTGCTCGAAGAAGTTGCTGTGGTCTCATTAGTGCGAGAGCAAGGCAAGTCATGCTTTACATTTGATCATATTGTACCCAATTTACAAACACCCTGCATTTCTATCAAATGTTGCACTCTTTTACAATGTCATGTGGGATGGGTCCTATTCCTCAGCCATACATTGTTTACCTTATGCCATACATTGTGAGATGGGTCCTATTACTCAGCCATACATTGGGACCGGTCCACGGGAAACCCTGGAAGAATTTATCGTGCTTACCACAAGCCAGCGTGGGCAACGGCTGGGATTGTAGTGTAGCTTTTCTCTAGCCGACGTACCCAAGCGAGGGTGGGCGTGATGGAGTTGGGTCGGCCGGAGTGTCCGGTTGATCGGCTTCCGGATTCAGTGCGGCACGAAAGGGGGGCTGCCCGTTGCCTGCTGGGGACGGGGGCGAACCCTAAGGTGTGGTGCGATCGGTTAGAGGGAGTTATGCGAAGGGTCCTGTCACGGCCTCTTTCCGGTATGTCGTGGTGGCATGTCGGCGCACGGAAACGTGTCGTGGGGCTGTCTTGTGGGTACAGTTGTACACCTCTGATCAGAGTAAAACTATTCGAATAGACGTGCCCGCGGTTATGGGCGGTCGACCAGATTCACCGTGATTAGTCTCACCCCTAGTTTAGCTTAATGAACTGGTGTAGTTCAGGTGGTTGGTTGGGCCTGTTGCAACGTGGTGTAGCGTTGGACAGTGACTGGTTAATATTGCTTAATTACTACAACTGTTTTTACTGTTTTCAACTACTGGTTTTAAATGCCTTCTTTATGCAAATGAACCCCGTAGCCTCCTTTGGTTATATCCTGCATCATACCTCCTCTTCCGGTATGACTTGCTGAGTACAGTGGGTAGTACTCAGTCTTGCTCTCTTTTCCCCCACACCAGAGTTGAAGTTCTTCTCAGTTGGAGCCGTCTCAGAGAGGTTGGTTCCGTTGCTGCCGTCAAGGATTGCCTGTGGAATGGAGTCGCCCCGCTGCTGAAGTCAAGCTTCCCGGTTTAGCTCGCTTTTATCTTTTCCGCTGCATTTGTAATCTTTTATATTTTTGTAAGACGTGGATCTATATGTCAACAATTGTCGTTTGTGTACCCTGGCTGGTCCTAGACAGGGGTTTAATACACATTCAGCTTAAAAATTCTGGTTTGTGAATTTCTGGGCGTGACATTTAACTATATATTTTTTAAAAATACTTAGCTTCCGTTTCAAGATATACTGCAATTTCTAGCCATCTATCTGGATACACCTTCTATTAAGAATGAAAATATATGAAAGTATTTTTAATGAGAAATCTACATATTAAATCATATTGTGTTTAAACAATCTAAGTTTTTGAGATTTCACTGCATGTATTATTGGAAGTCATCTATTTGACCTCCAGGAAGACTGTTACCACGTAGTAAGGTTAAATGACGTTCGAAAATGGTGTTGCATACTTATGTTTCGAAACAATCGGAGTGTCTGATGACCTGAACTTCAGAAGTACACGAGGGAGATAATAAAGGTGAACAATTTTTCTCGCTAAATAACACATTGCTGGTAAATGACGCTCTAAATTTCACAATCCGCAAAGAAAGCACTATGGAAATATTTCAATTTCAGTAACATGTAACTTACGGATTTGTTCCAACGGAGTCGAAACATTTCTTTTTTCAAAAATTCGTACGTAGGGCTAACAATTGCGGATGGGGAAAATGAAAACAAACTGATGTTGGTCAGCATTTGCATTTTCAAGCAACGATCTGCTCATCGACACACCATCTTTGAAGGAACAATGCTACTATATATTATGATTATCTCCATAGCTTCCAATCATACTAAACAAACTTTCCCTAGAGGGATACATGAAAGCTCCAAGAGCTCAAACGTCAGAAAACAGAAGGCAAGAACAGACTAACTACTACTATTATACATTTCATCATGAGGGGTCATGAAACAAGGCTTAGGTGTTGCAACCGTCAAAATTAACACCTTACCAAGAGCTGGGTCAAAAGAACCAGCCACTGGAGATCTTGCTGCTTCATGCTCTGGTCCAAAGAAACACCTTGCCACCAGAGCTTGCACAAGCAAGATGGCCAACTTTATATGGGTGTGCAGAGAACCGGCCCGGAATGGCCGTCATGTGTTCGCTCTCGAGACGTGCGTTGTTCATAGCTAAGAGGCTACTGCCATTCAGATCAACCAAAATGATATCTATTGCCCGCGCCATGTTTCCAATAAACAGGTCAGTGTCATTCCAGCCCCAGATTGCCCTGCAACATTGGTATAATAGATTAGTCAGAAATATTCTTCAGATACGGGATTAAAGAACTACAAAGATAGAAGAGCTCTCATACTTGAAAGTAGAAAGCCATCTCCCGGTCTTGTTATTGTGCTTCATTATGCTCGAGTTGCCGAAGTCATCCACACTAAAAATTCGGACAGTATCATCCAGGCTGCACTCAATAAAAATAGAGTTATTTCTGTGCAAAAGAACCTAATGAAAATACATTTATTGGTGCTCACTTGAAATATGAGTGAAAAAACTTGGGCTAGAGTAAGATGAAACTTGTGAGTAAAACTCTTAGCTAACAGCTCTAAAACAACATTCTCAGCCAAAGCTTCAATTTCACAAAGTTCTTCAAACTTCGTAAACTAATTCTAATTGAACAAAGCTATTTCACTTACAATTGAGTTTAGGTACATTTTTGTAAATATATGTAGCAAATATGCAGCATTCACTATTGCTGCAACCCCCTATCTAGTATAAAAGGGGATTATATTGCTAGCTAATGCTACACAGAGCTACTGTTATACTCCCTTCGTCCCTAAATATTTGACGCCGTTGACTTTTTTAAACATGTTTGTCCGTTCATCTTATTCAAAAACTTTTGTGAATATTATTCAAAAACTTGAGTAGTAGTAGTATATTTAACAATGAATCAAATGATAGGAAAAGAATTAATAATTACTTAAATTTTTTCAATAAGACGAACGGTCAAACATGTTTAAAAAAGTCAACGGCGTCAAATATTTAGGGACGGAGGGAGTATTTATCACTATGCAACATATGGATAATATGTGAAAGTAGTAGCTCATTGATTCGGTTGTAAATTATACATGAGATTTTGAGTGAAATGAGTGCCTTGAGAAGTTAAGATCAGAAGGTGATAACAATGATAATTATTCCTAATATTTTGTTACACGAAATAAATCTACCATCACCTTGATAGTGAGTTGTGCTAAAACATCTCGAAAAAAAATATTGTGCTAAAAGATGCGAATAATACCAAAATAAGGTGCAAGAATGGAGTTAGTACTACCTGCACTAACAAAGCTGCAAGCGCTCAGACAGTGTCTCTATAAGTGCCAAAATAAATTGGATTCAACAGAGCATATATTAGAAGGCACAACTGCAACTAGAAAAACTATTAAAGCAGTCTCATTAAAAGACTGAATCACATCATAATATGCAGAACAATTTGATGGTAACTCTTGTTATCCTATGGACCTGGATGTGATATAATGTTATTGAAGATTAAAGAAGTACTCCCTCCGTCCCAAAAAAACTCAATCTAGGATAGGATGTGACCTAGGATGTGACCTATCCTAGAACAACGAATTTGGACAAAGGCTTGTTCAGATTCGTTGTTCTAAAATATGTCACATCGAGTTTTCTTGGGACGGAGGGAGTATGTTTATTATTCAATCATCGCATACATTAAGGCAACTTAAGAAGTGTAGGAAATAGCCTAGGAAAAGGATCACCTTGTAGTTGCAACCATGCGGCCACTAGGTGAAAAATAAGCAGACTGAACAGATCTCCCATGTTCAAGGACCTTCAAGCTCTCTGGTTCCTTCTCTTTCATGTTTCTCAAATCCCACATACAAGCAGTTCCATCCGTTGAACTTGTGGCAAGCATATATGTGTTCTCTGGATGAAAATCTATTGAGTTGATTCTATTATCATGTAAATTCCATGTGGCTGACACCTTACCCATCCTCTCATCAAAAAGTTTCAGATCATTTCCTTCAGCAAGATATAGAGAGCTGGGGCTATTTGGCGCTTGACAAAGTGAGAAAATAGGATAGTCAGTCAGATAGATCATATTAAAGTTCTCTTTCTCAAGGTCCATAAGACAAATTTCACCCTCATAGCAACAGCTGTAAATCTGCAACGCAAATTTATCACAGAAAATCAATAAAAATAACAGTAGAATAGGAAGAAAAATTAACAAGACATGAGAATAAGCGAATAACTTTTTATGAGATGCACATCTATATTTATTGGGTCCGCTTTATATAAAGTAAGTGCCGAAATTATCTCATCATAAGGATGACTGGCTGATTAGCTGAGCTGCGAAAGAAAATACTACTAACATTAGGCCATCCCTTGTATCCCTTAACCCTTCCTTTCCCATGCAGCCCCTCTCACCATATATTGTAAAGTCACCACCACTTGATCATACATCACTCACCTCATTTAGACTCGTATAATGAACCCCTAGTATTAATCAACCATCCAGTTATCTAAGGGGATCCAAGTTAACTTAATGTTTGATTCTCAGAAGCCAAGAAAGTTCAACAAATTCCTTCAATCAATTGATTTTCATCTCTTACGAATTCTCAACTTATTATTCGAGACCTCTAGCAATGAGAACAGAGTGCTAAAAATTTATCGTTCTCAAAGCGCCAAACGTCAATTATCCCTATAAACAATTAACTAATGCCTGTACTAAAACATAGTTGCAAGTTTTTCACTGATACAATCGAATACTCCTATTTCAGATACACCAATTTGCATACTAGGAAATATTCAGTTACTCTCAAGAACATATGCATTGCACGTCTGCACGAGTAGAAGAAAGAAAAAAACATCACCTTCTGCGGCGTAGCTGGGTGTGAGACGATTGCCCCCACAGGGCCCCTGTGAGGCAAATACTCGAACACCCCATCTGCACCCGCCACGGCGCCGCCGTCCACGTCCCAGAACCCAACGTTCCCCAGCTTGTTCCCCGCCGCCACCACGGTCCGGTCCACCAGCGGCAGGACCCGCACCGACAGTATCCTGTCCGGCACCACCCTCCTCACGTGCGAGGGCCTCAGCACCAGCTCCGCCCCGGCATCGAAGCCGTCGTCACGGACGGGAGGCGGCGCGGCTGGCGAGGCGGACGCGGCCGCGAGGATGGCGGAGGCGAGGGAGGAGGAGAGCCGGGTGCTGCAGGGCGCCTCCGGAGGGGACTCGGGCGCGGGCGGGGAGGCGGCGGAGGAGGAAGAGGTGGAGGTGGAGGGGGGGAGGCCCCTGGTGCGGAGGGAGCGGCGGAGGACGACGGGGATCGGGGTCGCGCGCGGCGGCGGCGGCTGCTTCTTGGGGCGCTTCGACGAGGAGGAGGACTGGATGGCGGCGGAGAGCTCGGAGGCCTTGCGGCGGAGGGAGGCGAGGATGGCGTCGTTGCGGCGGATGTTCTCCTCCCGGAGGCGCTCGTAGTCGGTGAGGGCGGCGTCCGGCGGCGACGCCATTGTTGAAGTGGGTGGATTCTTGTGGAAGCTTTGGGAGGAAGGGAAGGGACGGGAAAAGGGGACGCGTGGATTGGGAGAGAGAGAGAGGGAGGCGGCTGCTTTTTGGCGATGGAACGACGTGAAAGGAAATGGCGGGAAGTTTTGCGGCGAGGCGAGAGTGTGGCGGGAAAGGAAATCCCGACTCCAGAGGCTGTGCCATCTCAGAGACAATTAACTCTCGGCAGTAGAAAACATCTAGCCCCATCCTATATTGGCTTTTTTATGGGACAGAGGTAGCACTCTGTATCTCATAAATTATTAATAACATTAACAGTTCAAAAAATAATATGAAGTCATCTGGTTTTGTTTGGACCCTGTCATATTGGATGTTTTGACACTAATTACAAGTATTAAACATAGACTATTGATAAAACACATTCTATAAATCAGGACTAATTTATGAGACGAATCTATTGGGCCTAATTAATTCATGATTAGCCTATGTGATGCTACAATAAACATGGATTAATTAGGCTTAAAAAATTTGTCACACGAATTGGCTCTCATTTATGTAATTAGTTTTTGTAAGTAGTCTATATTTAATACTCTAAATTAGTGTCCAAATATCATATGTGACATGGAGTAAAGTTTAGTCCCTGATCCAAACACCACCCTAGTCACGTAAAAAGAAGATTAAAATATGTCAGAAAAATGAAAAACTCCGGAGTGATATCATTGAACTATATCACTGCTCAGAAGACTATCGCAAAATGCATCAAGTGAGATGAGTTTGAGACCCACTTGAGTTACATAGTAGTGGTAACATGTCCTATGTGGTCAAAGATATTGTGAATTATGATGATTAAACAAACTTTTGGGCAAATAGGAGGAAAGAGCCTTAAAAGGGCTCATCGCTTTGATTTATTTCTCTCCTTTATGGCAAGTTGGTGTATACCTTAAAGCAGAAATGTTGGCCTATAGAACATATTATAAGAAACACATATATAAGTTTGATTGCTAGTCACAGTTTATGAGATTTAGGTGATCTCTAGATACTCATGAAAAGGCCTAGAGTATGACTTATACACTCCAAACAGATGAAATGCTAATGGCAACCTAGTATCAGTTAAATAATTGAGTAAAGCCTGAATGCATAGGACTAACAATTCAAGGCATAGTCCATTGTTCAATTGTGGTCAGGTGTACCTCCTTTTCTAGATGGAAGTTCAACTTAACCGTAACCACCACAAAACAAAGAGAAAATCCCTCGTATACCCCTAAAAATCTAACTAATACTTTCTATGCCCGTGAATTTTGCTTGCTTTCTTATATACCTGCAAATTTTGATTTTGATCCCTTCCATGCCCCTCCTGTCAGTTGACCATCTAATTTTTATAAAAATGACCATTTTACCCTTTAGATGAACACATAAATTTATGAATTGCATTACTGAAAATATAAAAGTTTGTCCTATGAGATTATTAATAGTTATGATCGCTATGCGATATATTAGTTATGACAATTTATTTTTAGATAATGAAATAAAAAATATTTATTTATTTATTTTTTGAAAGTCATAAAAATGAGGAGCTTTCATACAAAGATAGGATTACCAATGCACATGATATTTTTTAAGAATGTTCCTGATAAAAAATATATTGTCCTATTAAATTTCAAATAAAAATTTTAATTTATTACTTAGTCTCATTAGTTATATAAAATGCACATACCGTGCACTCTAATAAAATTTTCAATTGTTTTTTAAGCTTATATTTAAACCTAAATCATCAAGGGCATCAAAGACATTTGCCACTAAACTTAACGGTGAAATGAAGGAAAATGTAATGGAAGGGATCAAGTTGAAATTTCAGGGGAGTATAGAAAGCATCGGTTAAATTTCAAGGGTATAAAAGGGATTGAGTGAGTTTTCAAGGGTATTGTTGGCCCCTGGTTTTAAAACACGGGAGACCACTTGTGTTAACAATACGAAGTCACTGGATCAATAGGTTGGTATACACATAATACATTATTAGTACAGAATCGTCTGCAACGTAAGGTTTACAATACTTAATATTACAAGGGATGTCCGACTGGATCCCCAAATAGGCCAAGGGCCGATATATTACCCACATAAGAGCTTAAGGTAGAGTAGCAGAAGCGAGGCTGTGGCGGTACGACTTTATTACCACAGGCAACGGCTGGGAATTAGTCCCTGTGGCGTCACCACGTGTTCTTCTTCTTCGGGGAGGGTCTCAGTTGGGTCATCCACAAACTCTGACTCTAGAAGGTAGGGGTAAAGCAAGAGTGAGCACAGAAGTACACAGCAAGTTACTACTAGCAAGACATGCATATAATGTACGGGGAAATTCCAAGGGCGGTGTATGGCTATTTGCATAAAGCTATATTTCCCAAATCTTTTCTTAAACCTAAGACATAGCAATTTTGACTGTAAAACACATTAGATTAATGTTATCATTTAGCGAGGGTTCATCTACCTCTATAGGCCTTGCCTGGTTCGGTTTACCCTCACAAGTTTATTTACTCCAACTAACTTAGCTAACCTTCATAACCGTTAGGCAAGGTTACCATGTCACCTCATAACCTAAGCAAGATTAAAATCTATGAGTCTAATCAAGAGTAGTACAAGTCCCGACGCTCAGATCATTAACCGCGAGCACGGCTATTCGAATAGATTGGTTTACTCACATTGCAGTGGATTACGCTTTTAAACCCGCACTCCGCGGCATGCCCAACACATGAGCCTAGTCCCAACACATGAGACTTGCCACAGCCCGGCTTTTCAGTCGCTCTCGCATTTTGGCACCCGCTCCAAGCACTATGAGCCCCAATTGCACCCCGGCACTCCAACCTACCTACTATCGGATGGTGAGGGGAGTCCTGGAGCTCCCGGGAAAAGGGATATTTACTACATATACTCATAGGGTGTATTTTAAGTTATAGACATCATTTACCAAACCGACATTGCACTATCCTCGACATTCTCATACAGAATCTACCATGACTGAGGTGCCGCCCCACGAGAGCTTCCTAATCCATCGGGTCTATCCATACGTGAAATGAAGTCGTACTTGGTCTGTATGATAGTGGGGTGGGCGGCGCACATATCTCCACCCACAAATCAATGATCACCCCTACCGGGCGATCCTCCATCCGTAGTCTTATTGTTCATAAGTATGGGATGTATAGACGTCAAGAGCAATGCTAAGCAGTTGTCGGTAATCAACTACGTGTAAGTAATGGACTCAGGCGACAAGGAAGTGCAATACACGTAAGGCTAAACAATATCAAGGCAGGCATCATTCAAGTGTAGGTACGTAATTTATGAATAGCATGCAAGTTTATTTGCAAACAACACATATGTAAATAGGCTCAATATGTTCAAGAATGCGGCGCAGGAACTTGCCTTGATCAATTAAGGTCTCAACCTCAACTGGCTCGCACTCCTCACACACGTAACCTGTTTAATCGAACGCGGAAAATAACATCTAAACACGAAGGCTAAAACTATCGTCGGCATTGCTTACTCTGACTTATGACTTGTTCGCCCTACCCACACCCCTTAACCATAAATCCTGGCTTCGCCCCTGCTTCCTACTCAATGCTCATCTGCTCCGCCACCCCACTCAAGTGTACAGGCTGCCGTATCTCCGCTTGCTCCGCCGTGGTCGGCTCCGGCTGGGCCTCAGTCAAGCAAGGGGATGGATAGGCCGCCGCGCCATTAACTAACCCGAAAACGGCTAACGATCGAACAACTAACCCCTAACATCTAACCCTTGACACTCTAACCGCTGACCTTGTACTTTTCTATCGCACTAACCCCCAACCCCTAACAATCGCTAACTCGCTAACACCTAACCATATATCACTATGTGTTCGCTTGTGCTGACGATCGAACACCTGGTGAGCGAGGACGATCCGCGAACTCGACCGACCCTAGGTTGTACCTCGACGACCGTAGTTTCATGCGAGGATCACCGCCCGGTGTGCCGCTACCCGGCTACCGCAAGGTTTGTGCCACTGCCTTCCCTCCCCTTGCCTTTGGCCGCCGCCCTCCCTCCTCCTCAGCTCTGTCACCGCCAACAAGGCGCGACGCTACCCGAAGGGTGAAATGCCGCACCCGGCCTCCTTGCTAGCTGCCGCGTCGCCAACCTCTACATCTTCCCCCTAGAAACCCTTCCCCGCCAGCCCTGCCGGCTGTCTAAATCCCAAACCGTCGAGCCGCCCTCGCCACAGAGCGTGCGCGTGCACGCCGCGCACGGGCATGCTCTGTTCAAGCCCACTCCCACCCGGCCAAACACCAAGTCGCCACAAAAGGCCACCCGAGCTCAAAATCACCCAGCATCAGTACCCACCGTGCACGTCGCATCCCATCCCCCTCCCTATCCCCTCCGGCCGAGCCCCGCCATAGACCCCGTGCGCCCGCCCCGTGACTGCGTCCGGGACATCGCCGCCACACCCCTAGCCAATGCTATCAACCACAACCATAAGTGGAGATGACTTCCCTAGGGTCGTACATGCTCCCAAAACCTGCACGCCGCCCAGCTCGACACTGACCAAGCCTACCGCCGCCGTGCGCCATTCCGGTCGCCGCCGCTCCCAACCACACCGCCGCCCCGCCTCACCTGTCCATCCCCGTTGAAACTCTCGGCTCCGCTCGCCTTAGGGTACCTACCCACAGCTCACCCCAAGCCATGCATGCCCTTCCCTGTGCTAAACCGCCGCCACACCATCATTGGCGTAACACCGTGCTAGGCCGCCGCTGCACCTGACCACCCCGGCCGCCACACACCTCCCCGGGCCGCGCGTCGCCTCCCTAACCTAACTCTACCTCCCACCGTGCACGCCTTCTCAGCCGTAACCACTTCCACCCCCGATTGCCGCTGCTAGCCCCAACCCTAGCCGCCGTTGGCCGTTGCTACGCGCGTGCACGAGAGAGAGAGAGTGCCAAAGAGAGAGGGAGCGAAGCGAGAAGAATACAGAGATTGACATATGGGCCCCGCTCTTTTTTAAAAAATCCATTGAACCGGTCAGCCGAACCCTCTCCCGGTCCCACCTGTCAACCTTTTACCTTTTATTCAATTTATTCAAAACCCAATCTTTCAAAGCTCATATCTCCCTCATTTCAACTCAGATTTCGATGAAACCTTTGCCAAAATTCTTCTAAAATC